TACAGTAATTAGACTAGCAGTAAAGAGATTAAATCTATTCTTGATCTTTAACTCTAAATTGGAAGCTTCAGACTGCTTCAAGTTATACAAATCCTCTAAGGACATTGAATTGTCCTTACTAGCCAAAGCTTACTAAGTTAACCAAGACATTAACTTGTCTTTGTTACCCTCTTATCTTACTTATCTAAAAACCCTATTCTACTAACCCAAGTAGCTAGTCCTTAAGCTACTAACTAAACCTTCTTACAGCCCATCTTCTAAGATTCCTTAAAAGTCCCTTGTAACAGGCAAGTGAGGCTTTAGAGTACTTAAGCAGATTAGTAGGTGGTCTTTGAATTAGTCCCCCACGAACACCAGGATAGCTTGGTTGAAAGGCTAACCCAGTGAACCCTGGAAAGAAAAGATTGGGAAAACCAAATCTAAGTATTCCATACTATACCCTTCTTGCTTTTAGTTTAGAACAGAACAAACTCCATTCTCTTTTATTAAAAAGTAACCTTCTAGGATTTCTCCTAGAATCTTCCTTATACCAAACCTCATTTTTATTTTACTTACTTTTCTTATCCTAACCTTTTCTTTACGACAGCGCGTCTGATGTGCTGATGCGTGCCTGTCAGTGATGCGCTTTTTACAAGGTGTTTTGGTGCGTGGCTAGGACTTGTAAACTGGCACTAATGCGCCGACAACGTTTGAAGGGTCGTACAAACATGGAATAAATCAGGGAAAATGAAAATAAAATAGGAGGCCGGGGCTATGCCCACGACAATATACTCATATGTAGCAACATCGAAGTGAAACAGCCAATGAATTGCATATTTTGTGGTACCTGCATGAACTACCTTCCATTTTGGGATGGGTAGCTGGCTCAAGCCGCTTGAGAGCTATAGCCGCCATAAGCCGCGGCTTAACCTGCAACTTGGCTTGACTCGGCTCAACTGAAAAAGGCAGAGCCATCAAAAGCCAAGCCAGAGCCAAGCCACGCCAAGCTGTGGCAACACTATGAAGCATACAGGTGGTCTCAATCTAGGCTCCTGGCACCTGTCTGCACCCCCGTGCTAGTGGAGTTTGACCGAGCAAGTGCTGAAGTCCACCAGTGGGAGGAGAGTATGGTCACGGCCAATATACACATCCTGTACAGCGTCCGGATTCACAACAACTACATTTGGTCTGGCACTTCCTCCAAGCACATCTTGGATGAAGCTGCCGCGATGGCCATGCACGACTGCAAGTATGATGCGGTGAAGGTGCTGGCAGACCTCATCCAGTTTGGCTGGCTCAAACATGGCCCCGCTCTCACTGCCCAGCTCCTGCTCATCACAGCACATGACCGCGCTGTGCGCAAGCAATTCAAGGGCAGCAATCACTGGCTGACGTGGAACAAGATTTACAGCATTGCTGTGCCCCTACTCGACTTTCTCGATGCACTCTTTGCAAATTGATGGCATAGCGTGCTACAAAACTGCATGGTGCAAGGCAGCTCTGTGCCTCTACATGAGGCGTTTGCAGGCACATTCATCCAATTTATGCACTTTGTGAAGTATGATGGAAATGACGTGCTCAACATCCTGCCAGGCCTTGCTGGTGTTGTGCGCAGCTTTGTGTGTCAGCTGTCTCCTGCACAGCCTGGCATTGATATTGTGGTGCCAGTTGTCATGGAGGACTGAGTACTGGACAGAGAGGTCATTTCCTTCCTTTTCATCCAAGTCAAGATGGAGCACGAGCTGACATACAGGCCAAGCACAGGCACCATCGCTGCAATGTTTGTGCACACATCAAATTTGCACCCTGTCATCCACCTCGTTATGCAGCTCGAACCGGCCATGCGTGTTCCAGAGTTAACACAGCTTACAAATGAAGCACTATATGGGCAGCCGTGCTATAAACTCATAGCGTATGGCTGTGCGCCGTCAGTGTACAGCATTGTCAACAATGCACATGAGGATATGTATGTGACACTTGGCAAGTACAAGACAATTGCAAGTGAGCACATCCACCAGAAAGAGCGGATGGTCACCCACGTGAAATACATGAAAGGCAAGTGGGAACGCGGCCTGGAGAGCTATGATTGAATTGACGAGCCCGCTTTGAACGCACAGGATGAGCCTGGCAAGAAGGTCTGCGGACTGTACACTACTTAACTGGGATTCTTTTTTCCTCTCTCTTTTCGTGTTCAAAAGCTCTAGTTTCCCTGCATCATTAAAACTGTGTTTTTGAGCTCTAAACAGAAATGAGTATTCTGTGACTACTGTAAAATACAATTTGCCTCACGACTAGTTCGTGACGCGTTGCCAATCTGGATCCTCGACATTTCACGCAGCGAGGTTGCGGCTGCATCAATTACCTGCTCACTGGAAATTTCCACCACCACTATCTTTTTTTTCCCTTCAAAGGGTTTATAGTGCTATCATTCCAATAGGCATTTGGTAATGTACACATAAATTACTACCAAAATGCATAAAATAAAGGCTATATAGAGTCCATCAAAGCAATGGCCATTAGAGTCCGAAGCAGTGAGTGACAATGAAAAATAGGAGAAGACCTTGGCCAACTTCCCTCCTGGGTTACTTCCAGGCTATATTAGAGTAAGAGGCGCCCTCTCAAGCATGGTGTCCATGTCGGTATGGACAGCATGCAGTCCCCCTCTCTCCCCCCCCCTTCCTTGGTACCTAGGCATTTAGCCACTCATCTCCCCCACACTGCCGGCCCCTTAGGTCTCTGACGTATCTGCAGTGACAGCCTGTTGTAGGCCCACCACAGAGAACCCCTCGAAAGAGATGTCGGTAGGAGGTGCAGGTAGGTATAACCTGGCAGGATTTGGTGCCATTCCACAAGGTAGGGGAGAGGGTGGGAGGTGGGTTATTGTGCTTCTCCGGCAAATGCTCACTGAGTGCCCATCAGTTCAGCATTATCTGATGTGTTTGGCCTCCATCTATCAAGGACGGAGGGCTTTTCTTGGTGAAATCCCTCTTGAAAAAATGGGAAGATGCAAAGAGAGCATCCTAGGAGTTATTAGGGGTAGTTGTTCAGTAGAATAAGGCCCTCGAGGGGGATCACCCGAAGGTGCCCAAGGGGATGGTGATAGTATGAAGGAGAGGCACTGCTGCCACCACTATCATCGCGACCCTTTCTTCATCTTCATCCATCTGTATCTCGTCATACTAAATCATCCATATCCAAATAATGCTCTCCTTGCACAAAAAAAATCCCAAAGACTCTTTGTTTGCCCCACAGCCATACCTCAAGAACTTCACGCTTCCTCCAGACTCCCAGCTACCTTCTATGCATGTGGTCGCAAAGAATATTGTCAAGTGTAAGCACTGAATTCGAGTGGCATTCTATTGAAAGCTCTGTGTTGCACCTAGTGGAAGGGATACATTGCACCGGAATGCTCCAGGGGCCGGTTGGCGCCGTGTTTGCCACAGAAGGTATTGTCGTGATATGACAACTGGGCTGCGCGAGCGCAAACTGGCGAGAGCACACGGGCACGATCTAATACACATGGTGTTAGTTCTGAGTGCGAAGGGAAAGAGCACGCTGTATAGATCTACCTAATACACACAGTGTTAGTCTACACAGTGGGTGGTAAGCATATGTGCATACTGCAAGGGTGACAAAGGTACTTACTCTGAGTGCGAAGGGAAAGAGCACGCAGAGTGGGGATGCGGAGAGGAGTTCTTATATACTAAAAGGAAGCAAAATTGAAAGTTCGCTAGAATGGGGAAGCCTGCCATAAAGAGGTCCGTGTGTGGGAGCACTACATACTGATCGTCCAACCACTATCTACATATTAGTAGCACCTAATCTAAGATGTCCACCTTCAGTCCATGCCGGGTGGAACGCCGAGCCAGAGCCACTAGGCGCTTCAACAGAAGGTGGCACACAAAATGCAAGGGAAGAGATGAACAAGCCCACGCAGTACAGTGTCTTCTTGCCTAATTTTTTCAAGTTCAGCTACTATGTGCGAGTGCCAGACGGTGAGAATATGCGCATACTGTACTTTTACGACCATACCGGATGAAAGTGCCCAAAATGAGTTTTTCCGACAACTCGCCAAAATCGTCATAAATCGAGAGAATATTAGTGGCGGTGTCCGCGGAAAAGCGGCATGACGTGTGACATCCGGTACGGTCGTAAAAGTACAGTATACGCAGCTGAACACGCTCAAGCAATTTTGCAGTGCCGGGAGACATGTTGGAGGGCGTTGTGTTCGCACTGGAGGTGGTCATCAGAATCATGATAGTGTCCGGAGGGGCAGCTGCGCACTATGGGACACATATTGCCGCATCAGACTTTGGAAACGGCCCATTACTTCATCATGTGTAGCGCATTTGTCTCGCTTGTATCGCGTGCTAACACGCATTTTCAGCTGAGCAATGCACGGCATAAACTTGCGGCCCATCTAACGTATGTTTTCATTCCCACGGATGCGCGTGTTTGTTTGACCAGCGACGTAGCAACCCCATAATCAACCGTCCTCTCGACGCGGCCAAACATCTGAAGCACCAAATGAACGCCGACATTCCGAGGCTAATAGAAGGCGAAAAACCATGGGCAGTCAATCCGTAAGATCTCATACAATTTTGGGCGCATGATTATTTCATGCGCACTGTAGACATCAATACGGAATGTACTCCCAGACATTATATCTCACGGGCCAGCATGCGGAGACGAAAGTTGTACGCAAACGACTGCTCAGGGATGTGCATGATTCAGAATTATCGAATCTTTTTGGGCCCATTTTTACGTCACATCTTGTCATGAATATTACGTATTCCGGATGGTTCTCCCAGGTTCCATAGTATTCTTTCACTTTCTATACACCTCCGTATATTTGTAGGATATTCTAGGTACTCAGTCTGACATGTATAAAAGGAGCTCATACTGCTCAATAACAAGCCAGACTCGAGCTGGTCTTTCCTCACTCACATTCCTTTCGTCTGTCTCCTCAGCATTGTCGTAGCTCAGTCCAGTTGGATTGTTAGTTGCTGACATTAGCTCGAGTCTCCACCAACTGCCCTACGACGATCCTCGTCACTTCCACACCAACCATCACCTATCTCCACATGACGATCCACTCTATACGCACATCTGACTCTCACCCTAAATCCTAACCCTACCAAATTCTACCGCATCAAGACCCGGACCCCTGGAACCCTTCTCTGTGCACTTGCACAACTTTTTACCACATCATACCCCCGAGGTCACCTCTGTAATCACTAGCCCTTAGGCGGCTAGACAGAGCTCCGTCCAATTAGAATCGTACCCTGCCCTACCATAGGCAGCGTTACACACTTTGCAGCAGGCAAGCGGATATTCCTGAGTACGACGTGGCAACCGGTTGCGGCCGGGCGTCGGAAAAGCGATAACAGTTAGATCGACGATCCCTTTCCGGACGTCAGACCGAAGAGAAGCAATTGCTCTTTGGGCTGTTATACTATTCCTAGAACTGTATTAAAATAGCGTTTTGGTTCTTTTTGGAAATCCCTATCTTTGGCAAACTCTACCCCTGATCTGGTCGTTACAACACGATTAGTCCCAGGGTTTGCTGCAACCAGCTCCATGGACCCGACACCCTATGACCACGCCTTCTTGCTATTGTAGAGGACATACACATCGAGAGCTAGAGGGAAGATCTGTCTACCTACGAGGTGACAACTTACGGTACTGCGCGCAACAGCCCTGCCCGCATTTTCCGGATAATAGCAATCGTTGTCCTCGGTGTAGGGAAGGACTACGCGGAGAACTACTACTGAGAGTTACCACAGGAGCACCCTCAGAATCTATTGCAGTCCCACAACCCACAGCATCCGGTTCAGAACCCAGAACCAGACGAGATACTCTTGAATCAGTCACTGACCATCTCCGCTCGATCGCCCTCGGAGAATTCGAAGCACTACCAGAGGGCCCACCAGACCCCGTGGAAGAAGCAGTAGAAGATTCCGAAGCTTCAAACCCACCTTCCCGCCGTTCTCCCACTCCACCCTTGTCTCCTTCTGACCCCGGCGCGATGGCTGAAAACCAAGACAGTGCCGTGCTCCTCAATGAAAGCGCGATGAAACCCGACGCCTTTGATGGCACCAAATCCAAGTACATCGCTTAGAAGACGCAGATGAAGCTCTATGTGGTCACGCAAAGGAAGCGACTGCCAGAGCAATTTGACAGGGTCCTTATGATCCTGTCATACATGAAAGGAGGACATGCGGGCGAATACGTCGCCACATACATGAAGAAGTATGACACGGATGAAGATACCGTGATCAAAACCACGAACGATCTATGGAAGGATTTAGACATACACTTTCTAATCGATGAACAGGCAGAAGCGTACGATAGGCTGCAGGCAATGCAGATGGGAGCGCTATCGGCGCAAGAGTTCTTCTCGAAGTTCGAGTTGTGTGCCTTCCAGGTGAATATTCACGACTTCGAAGCACACTTTCAGGAACTCAAGTTGCTTCTAGAAAAAGCACTCCGGGCCGACATCATTCGGCTTCTATATAATTCATCAGAGGAACTCCCCGCTACATACGCGCTATACAAACAACGGGCCGCGCGCATCGACCTAAATCAGCAACAGTACCGTCGGCGAAACCCACAGTCCCAGCGACAGGGACAATTTCAACCTCGGCAGCAGCAGGCACAAAGTGCGCCGCGAGCACAGGCTAACGTAGCCGCGCCAGCTGTAAGCGCCCCAGTGCAGACGCATCGCGATGGGACAGGCGTCACATTTGGTGGTAGAGGCCAGCCAATGGAACTAGACCAAGCACGACGCTTGGGTCTCTGCTTCCAATGTGGGGAAAAGGGTCATCTTTCGCACAGTTGCCCTAACCGGCAATAAGCTCAGCAAGTACGAGCCGCGGAAGCACCGGTAGTTCCCACCACCAATACGTTCACGCCATTAGTGTCACTCAACGAAGCCCCTGCCGCGACGGCAGAACCGTTTGATTAGAAGTGGCAATTCGCGAAGAGATTTGCGCGGCCATGAAGGGTTTTGCAAGCGGTCAGCCGGACGCGTAGCCGAGTTGACTGAGCATAATTTTACGAATTATCTGTGTTCTTGGTTTGGAGTAGCAATGTATATACCAGAAAAAGGGGCGTCCGCAGAGCCGCGCGGAGAGGCTCAACCCTCTTGCTTAATTCCCCCGAATAAAAAATTATTACCCACACCAGAACATCAGACCGAACCTACGCAGTGGCAGCGCCACACACCCTGGACGGCGGCTTGGATTCACCAATGGATAGTCAGCAAAGAAACTGCAGCACTCAGACTGTTGACTGAATGGGTACACTCAAAGAAGAGTGTTGATGCTTCAGAAGCCTGTATGAACCAAATCAGGCAGATGAAAGAAGAAGAAGCTATAGACTTCTTGAATGAACTACGAAAGCAACCTCGTTTTATCCGAAGAAGGAAGGGGACTCAAATGGACGTTCCAATGATTATCACCACCCTGGACACGCAGCAGCGCTTATCAGTCAAAGCGTTATTAGACACAGGATGCACTGGATCTTCCATTGATGCGCAGTTTGTCTGCGATAACAATATAGCCACAAAGAAACTGCCATCACCGATCCCTGTCTATAACGCGGACGGCACGCATAATGCCAGCGGGGCAATCACTGACTTTGTCGAATTAAGGGTGGAAATCCAGGATCACGTTGAACGACTTCCGTTCGCTGTTACAAATCTGGGAAAGACTCCAATCTTTCTTGGATATGAGTGGTTACAGATCCATAACCCATCTATCGATTGGCAAGAACAAATCATTCAGTTTGATCGGTGTCCAGTTACCTGCAAATATGCCGCCCGATTAATTGATATTGATGCCGATCAGGAGGAGCCCAGCGATCCGGAGGCTTGCCTAGAAGAAGGGGATAGAATCTTTATTCTTGACCACGAAACCTACTTTGCTACGGGAACAGCGTACATTCGCACTACGGCCACTGATCTAGCCATTAAGGAAAGTCTGAAACACGAGGCTAAGATGTTTGAAAACACCGTCCCAAGTCACTATCACGACTACTCTGATGTGTTTAGCAAAGAAGACTTTGATTCCTTACCGCAAAGACGACCCTGGGACCACACGATAGAACTCACACCAGGCGCACAACCGATCAGTTGCAAAGTTTACCCGATCTCTGTAAACGAACAAAAAGAACTTGATGAATTCATAGAAGAAAACCTTCGAACTGGGAGAATCTGACCATCAAAATCCCCGTGGGCTTCTCCATTCTTCTTTGTCAAGAAAAAAGACGGACGACTTCGGCCTGTACAAGACTATCGGAAGCTGAATGAGCTCACGATCAAGAACCGCTATCCACTTCCTTTGATACAAGAACTAGTGGACAAGCTAAAGCAGGCACGGTACTTTACAAAATTAGACGTTTGATGGGGATACAACAACATCCGCATCAAAGAAGGAGACGAAGAGAAGGCGGCGTTCCTAACGAATCGAGGACTATTCGAACCACTCGTCATGTTCTTCGGCCTTACCAATTCCCCGGCTACATTCCAAACCATGATGAATGATATATTTTGAGATCTCATCAGTCAAGGACACATGGTAGTCTATCTAGACGATGTCATGATCTTCACTCAAGATTTAAAAGAACACCGTCGGATCACGCGGCAAGTTCTTCAAATCCTGAGAGAACACAAACTTTATCTGAAACCAGAAAAGTGCAAGTTCGAGAAAGCAGAGATAGAATACCTCAGAATGATAGTAGGAAAAGGAGTTGTCCGCATGGACCCAGTCAAGATAGAAGGAGTTGTCAATTGGCCTCGGCCCGAGTGCAAACAAGACATCCAAGCATTCCTTGGCTTCACCAACTTCTACTGAAGATTTATCCGAGACTACGGCAAGATAGCAAAGCCACTCAGTTCATTAACAGGAAATGCTACCTTTGAATGGACTATCGAACAAGAAGTAGCGTTCACAAGCCTGAAAGATGCACTCTGTTCCGCACCAGTATTGGCCATACCCAATGACGACGACCCCTATCGCGTAGAATGCGACGCCTCGGACTTTGCCATAGGAGCTGAGTTAGCCCAGAAGCAAGATGGCAAATGGAAACCCGTCACCTATCTATCCAAAGCTATGACAGCAGCCGAAAGAAATTACGAGATTTACGATAAGGAACTTCTCGCAATCATGACTAGCCTTGATGAGTGGTGTCAGTATCTCATGGGCGCCATACACCTGTTTGAAATATGGACGGATCACAAGAACCTAGAATACTTCTGGAAGCCACAGAAGCTCAATCGACGACAAGCCCGATGGGTAACCGAGCTGGCTGAATACCAATACTCGTTGCATCACAAGCCCGGTAAATCTAATGGCAAAGCCGATGGACTATCTCGCCAAAAAAGGCACAATGCAGGAAAAGAGGACAATTCCGATATGGTGTTACTAAAACCAGAACATTTCCGCGCCTTGATTCGTAGTACTGTATTTAGTTTAGAAGGAATCGACTAGAACTGGGTCGCAGAAATTAAAAAATACAAAAAGAACCGAGATTCATTAGTTACCGTAGCTTTACAGAACAAGGACAAAGACTGGAACGAAGATAGTACCGGACTCGTGACATGGAAGAACCGTATTTACATACCAGTAAATAAGAAACTCCGCGAGCAAATCATTGCTCATCACCATGATACCCCATTGGCTGGACATCCCGGTCAATACAAGACACATGAGATGGTCACACGTAACTACTGGTGGCCCCAAATTTGAGAAGACATCAGGAAATACGTGGCCGGATGCGAGAAATGCCAGAAGACCAAGGTTCACACAACGCGTCCTACTGGACTTTTATTCCCCAACAAAATTCTCTCACGACCCTGGGAAGTAATCTCCGTTGACAAGATAGGTGTATTGCCGGACTCCTTCGGATACAATGCCATCCTCGTAATCGTTTGTATGTACTCTAAGCAGATAATCGCAATACCAAGTACCATAGAGCTCAACGCCGAGGGATGGGCAAAAGCACTCCGAGATAACGTAGTCGCCCATCATAGACTACCCCGAAAGATCATTAGTGATAGGGGAACTGAATTTAAGAATCAGTACATCTCCGAGTTGTACCGATCCCTCGGAATTGAAGCCAATCCTTCAACCGCGTATCACCCCCAGACAAACGGACAAACGGAACGCATCAATCGCAAAGTAGAACAATATCTTTGATTGTTCATCAACTACCGACAAGCGGATTGGGCTGAATGGTTGCCACTTGCGGCCTTTTCGTACAACAATAAAGTCCATTCATCCACCGGATATACTCCATTCTTCATTAATAAAGGGTACCACCCTTATGAGGGAACCCAACCGGTGCGAGAAGGATTAAGCGAAAACGTCCAACAGTTTGTCGACAGAATGGAACGGGTACGAGAAGACACTAGTGCGGCTATCAGTCTAGCACAAGAAACTATGAAGCGCTTCTATGACAGGAAAAGAAAGAACAGACCAGAATACAAAGCAGGGGATAAATTTTGGCTAGAAGGAGTAAACATTCGAACAGACAGACCAATGAAGAAGCTCGACGATAAGCGATACGGACCTTTCAAGGTCAAACGCAAAGTCGGCGCCTCTGCCTACGAATTGGAACTTCCACGCCAATGGAAACAACACCCCGTGTTCAACGAGAGTCTTCTTAGTCCCTTCAAAGAACCCGTATACCCTTCGCAACGACGTGAACTGATAGTCCCCGACCTTATAAATGGCGAGGAAGAATGGGAAGTCGAAGATATCCTCGACTCTCGCCGTGATCGAAATGGAAATCTTGAGTATCAAGTTCTCTGGAAGAATAGCCCACACGGTGATCGCCGTTCCTGGGAATCACGAGTGAACTTGACCAATTGTCAAGAACTCCTTCAAGAATTCTATGCGAGACGTCCCGATAAACCCGCGCCTATGACAATTAGAATCCCCCCGCTATTGACACGACCCGTCCACATGCTCACGCGTGACACTACTCTTTTGGTACAATGGATGGGTGGGATTCTCCCGAAACAGGGGTCTGAAGAATCTGCTGGGCTTGACCTTTATTCGGCCGAAAGCGTTAAGATACCGGCACGAGACCGCAAGGTTGTCGGCACTGGCATAGCAATGCGTGCCCCTCACGGAACTTATGCGCGAGTAGCGCCGCGAAGTGGGTTAGCGGTTAAAGGAATAGATGTCGGCGCTGGAGTCGTAGACCGAGATTACACCGGAGAAGTACGCGTAGTGTTAATCAACTCCACCAATCAACCCTTCCAGATACGCGCCGGCGATCGGATCGCACAAGTCATTTTGGAACGCATTGCGTCATGCGATATCGAGGAGGTGTCCAGCTTAACAGAAACCCAACGAGGGACAGGAGGATTTGGATCGACTGGTAAATAATCGTGAGGACACGATTCTAGACGAGGGGGTAATGTCATGAATATTACGTATTCCGGATGGTTCTCCCAGGTTCCATAGTATTCTTTCACTTTCTATACACCTCCGTATATTTGTAGGATATTCTAGGTACTCAGTCTGACATGTATAAAAGGAGCTCATACTGCTCAATAACAAGCCAGACTCGAGCTGGTCTTTCCTCACTCACATTCCTCTCGTCTGTCTCCTCAGCATTGTCGTAGCTCAGTCCAGTTGGATTGTTAGTTGCTGACACATCTCATGCTTTCGTCCGCACTACTGCATCTTGGTGTTGAGCCGAAGGCGCAGAAGGCGTATGTCTTACTTGTCTTTATACGGCCGAGGGTTAATTGTATAACACAGACACACGGACTGGACTGTAAAATATATCAAGAAGCATTTAACGCGGTACACATGCCTTGCACAGCTGTTGGTGATCTACGACGGCCCAATACATCCCGTTCTTGCCGCGCTCGGTGGCGAAGAGTGGCTGAATCGACGTAAGAAAACGACGCTCAAACGGGATGAGCGTATGGCAAAACAATGCCAAACTTGTGGCACTACCGACGTGCAGAAACCGCTGTTCCGGTGCTCCAGGTGCCAATATACCTTTTATTGGTGAGTGGGCTACCTTTATATGCATACCACCATGCTAAAGACCCTGCATATAGTTCGAAAAAGTGCCAAAAGGCTCACTGGAGGCTCCACAAGTAAGTGCGCATGTCTTGTCGTTCTGTGCATCAACTCACGGAGAATGCAGGGCACAGTACACGTATGTTATCCTGTGTATCATGAGAATTCTCTCTTAATTCCTTCTTGCCAGCGACATTGTCAACTCGCGCGCAAAGGTCGAGAAACTGATGCAGCAAGGCTCGCCGCTCGCGCAGAAGGAGGCCGACTGGGTCTCGTGGCGCTCGCTATCGAGCGCCAATAATACGCGTGCGCCGCGATCCGTCGCGCGGGCGTACGCACATCGTCTTGCGCCAGGTGGAGCACGCGCCCGGGGAGAGTGACCTTAGGTACCGGTTCACGGTCACACATACCGACGTCTTCAAGCTCGACGATTGCTGGGACGCCATCGAGGAGGTCATGGGCCTTCACAAGGGCGAGGGCATGGAGATGGTGCAGGACATCCTCGACGACCTCGTCTCGGCTGGTAGCCCCAGCGGGCAAAAATACATCCCGCTGCCGGGCTTAACATACGGGTACGGCATTGTACCGTATCTGGGAAGCAGTGAGTCACTATGCAGTTGAACCGCGCCACAGGTCTTTTCTGACCAGCCCTAGGTGGAATTACCCAGGGATTGTTGCGCATCCAGCCGTATAATCGCGACTGGCGCAAAACTATGAACAAAAAGGGTGTTTCGCCGCCTGAAGCCATCCCAAAGCTCAAGAATGCGGCTGACGTCGAACATCAATTCGATTAGACCCGTGGACTGCCGGCCGCTGTAGGTTTGGTCGAACGGGTGTGCTCTGTCAGAGACTTGATGGCAAATGAATCGACCTACACAGTATTGTTAGATACATGCTGTCAATGATTCACAAATATTCTAATGTAGGCTGTGTCCGATTAGTTTTGATAATGGGTGCAATCCCGAGGCTAACGTTAGCCAGAGCTGCTCTGATACAATTGCAAGCTGACGTGGACGTATTTGGATATTAAGGCTATCTACGTCTGCGTGCAGACGTCGCCGCCTCCCAAGGCAGGCGTGGTAGTCAATCTACGAGTGAATGTGGAACGGTAGCGCGCTGCGCTTTCATTTGAGCGACGTAATGCTGCCGCTTTTCCAGGTCTGCGTAAACACTTCAGACGCGTTGTTCAATCAAACACGATAAGGAAAATTTACCATGGGCCCACATAGCGGCGCCGATTCTGTTCGACACTGTGAAAAGCAGCCCCACGAGAGGCAAGCCCTCGAGGAGAGCAGCAGCGAAACCGAATGCTAGAATTGAAGGACGACTGGTCAACCAAGAGCGTGTGAGTTAGGGGTGCAGCTCCTACCTCTGTAATCCCACTTGCGCTCTTCTATGAATACAGCAATTTGGTCCTCAGTCATCTTCTTGGCTTTGAAGTACTATACGACATGAAGTTAACCGTCCATTCAGTTCAGAGCAAAGGATAGCAAGCCTCACATTACGATGAAGATGACGGCCCGTGCCCAGAGCTCTAAGCCATGCTGAGATCACAATGCCAACCAGGGGCAGCAGATGCAGCGGAGACAGCGCCACTATATGGAGGCGTCAGCGTAGATGTCGGTTCTCCGCGCCCGGCCGACCCACTCTTGATAGTCACCCTACCAAAGACGCTACTCGCGAACTTCGTGAGCCGCGACCTGGTCGGCTTGGGTGGATTGTCCCATTCCTCGACGTATGGCTGCCATTTCACATCCGGAAAATCCAAAACATTTACACGGCGTTCTGAGCACGATCGTGATCGAGTCAAAGAAACCCTATAGGCCCTTGTTCGGATGGCTCACGCCGTCAAAAAAGTGCGTGACGATACTTGGCACGATCAGGTTGCCGATGCTAAACGATAGCGTGGCCGCGAGGATGAAGCGATCCCGGCGCGTGATGCGGTGGTACGAGAGCACGCGAATGCCGACACTGCGACCGACGCAAATAGAAACGTCGTGGTGCCGCTTATCGCAGGATTTGG